TTATTATTATTATTATTATTATTATTATTATTATTATTATTATTATTGTTATCATCATTAATATTATTATTATTACTATTATCATTATTAATTATTATTATTATTATTCAAATTACTGTAAACCAAAAATGTATATTTCTGTAGCTGTAAACAGTAATATTTGTATCAGTGGCTCATGATTTATATTGACAGACAACACAATAAATCAAAGTGTCTGGAGAATATTTTGTTTAATTTAGTGGACTTATTTATTAAACGCATCTTCTGTTTGTTAATGTGTTTATTTAAAGCTTGTAAAGCTTATATAGATCAGTGATGACAACAAACTTCAGCAAGGTTCTAAATGGTCATTAAAATGAGTAAAACTTCATCCACATCTGTTGTACATTGGTCTCTTTAATTATTGTGGTAAAATCACAGTTTTTGTTTGAAGACGTTTTGCACGAAACCCAATTAACACAATTCAACAAGTTTTCTTTTTCTGCAGCCACAGCTGCACCAGGTACATATTTACCAAAAGCATCAACATGGGTGTAATAAATTGGCAGAAATATAAAACATTTGAATAAAATGCATTTTACTAACCAAAACAAATGGCTTTGTAACCCCGCCCAGTTCGCTCTCTAACCCAATCAAACGGCATGAAAATGCTGACGTCGTCTAACGCCTTTTAGAAGGCCTCACTGTCGCCAACTCGACATCTGATGGGTCAAACCAACAGTTTTATTGTTTTAACCTCCAGGTGCCTGCAATGTTGATTCTGAAGGCCTCCAGGCAGATTTATTTGACCCTAGTAACTGATGATGGTCAAAATATAATTGGACAAAAGTTCTCTCTGTGCTACTGGAAGCTGCACAACCAGGAGAAAAGCTATGAACGGAAGAGAACAGATATTTCAGAATAATATGAATAAATAGAAAAGTATACTAAAAATTAAATTAGTGATTCTGATTGTGTTTAGAGAAGGCATTGCTGGTCCTGATGCTCCACCACTGGTAAATACACACACTATATATATATATATATATATATATATATATATATATATATATATATCAGAGCTTGTTGTCTGACAGTTTTAGTTTTGTTGTTATTTATTCCTTCTTGTTTTTTATTTGACAACCATCCCAGCTGTCTGAAGAATGTTTGTTACCTGACCTCACCTCGACCTCCTGAAAGTCGTCATCATCGATGTCGTACGACAGCGTTGGAATCCTGGCATCCTCTCCTGAAAACTCCAGAAACTTCCCATCAGAAAACAGCAGCACCTCCTTTGCGGAGGAGGAAAAAACGTCTGGGCCATGCCCTTCGATGAAGGTGGTCTCACAGCAGTCCCCACCCCCGGCCTCCCCCCACACATGCAGGATGCTGTCAGGGCAGAGCAGGAAGCCATGGCCAGGTCTCAGGGTGGGTTCTGGTACCACATGGTGAGGGAGGAGAGCCCTGGGATTCAGAAGCTGAGGATGAGTCCCGCTGCACTCCTGCTGAGGGGACACGTTCACCATGTGGCCCTGGAACAGGTGCACCTCCTGAGGCTCCGCCCCCAACCTGTGGGTGTTGATGAGGCAGTTTGTTCTGTCAGGTTCTCCTCCTCCTGCTCCTCCTCTCAGTGAGGGGGTTACTGTCACCTCCTCTGCTCCTCCCTGCATGTCTCTCCTCAGAGGTGCTCCTCACACAGGTCAAAGGTCAGGGGAGGGGGCTGAACTCTCCTGGAAAACAGAATGAACACGAAGGTTACTGCTCAGAGCTCATGTTTACAATAAATGTAAAGTTTTGAACTCGGACGTTTGTTCGTAAACAAGTTTAAAATGTTTCTTGATTTGTTAAAGACTGAAAATAAATTCTGCTTCTTTCAAATGTTTTCTAATCACAACTGTAAAATAAACAATCGTATCAATAAACGGTTTCTATTTATTGTGTATTCCTCCACCTTGTTCTGTCTGAGAGAAAAGTGGATCTGGATTCTGTTTTCCTTCACAGTTACACCTGCTTCTTCCTCACTTTTGTAAAATCCCCAAACAGAACCACATCTGAACCCAAACAGAACCACATCAGAACCCAAACAGAACCACATCTGAACCCAAACAGAACCACATC